TTTTGGAATGTGAGTATTAATTATCGATACGCTGCCGCAGGAATTATTACAGATTTTTACATGAATTATTTCCTAACCTAACCTAACCTAATAATTAGTCATGGAAAAATCTTTAATAATTCCTGCGGCAGCGTATCATAATTAATACTCACATTCCAAAATTCATGCAGATCCGTTAAGTATTGAAGTAATTATGAGTGTCCCAGTTGCTTTAAAAATACATTTATTGGTTTTAATTAAAAAATAATTCATCTAAAAATCTGTAATAATTCCTGCGGCAGCGCATCGATAATTAATACTCACATTCCAAAATTCATACAGATCCGTTAGGTATTGAAGGAATTATGAGTGTCCCAGTTGCGCGAGTCCGCAGGCGGGTCCGTAGAATTGTCGATTGAGTCCTCCACTGTTTCTATTCTTCCGATTAGGTACCTCGAGGGAGGGGAGCGCAGCCGTGCACCACCAATTTTGTGCACCAATAGGCCCTGAATCGAACGCCTTGGATCTCTCCGGACATCCACCAATCAGCCGTGAAACACTCGGCTTTGTCCTCCTCTGGCCTTGCAAAAAACCTGCCGTGCACCACTAGGCCGCGGATCGAATATGACTTCCGGGCATCGTTAAATTACGTAATTTTACGTTCACAGCATCTGAGGTTAGGTTTCAGATTGAGATAGCATAGTTCTGTTCCAAAATTTATCGAGTGGCCGTTCGAGGGCCTGATCGACAAGTGGCCGTTCGACCGAGGGCTGGTTCGACCCACGGCCTAGATACGGACGGCTTGAAGTGTTGAAGGCTACGTTCCGGAAGGCAGGAAAGGTCAGTGAGTGTAGCTCAGGCAGTAACGGTAGTAGACTGCCATTGTTGTAATAGTTGTGAATTGTTTACGGCCGTACTTGCGGCCAGTCCCGCTGCCGGTGTCCAAATTCAGTGAGAGAGTGCATTTAGCCGTTGACGAATTAAGACGCGCTCAAAATCTCTCTGTTTACTTTAACAGTGCATGTGTCATGGCTGCACAAGTTCAGTGTGCAGAATCGGCCGATTTCATCGATACTGGCGCCATTCCTGAAAACACTACTCAAAGTCATGCGCATGGGTGGTTAACCGACTCCCAACTCGAGGAATTCTGTGGAAGTGATTTCACTAATCCTCCCGAGAAAAATGATGTCTGTACATTGTCCTCCATCAACACCGCCCGGAAGAGGAAAGGATCTACTGATGAGAGCTCCTCAATGACTTCAAAGAAAGTTGATATGAGGAAATGCCCAAATGCTGAGTCTACATTAGTGAATCAGAGGCAGAACCAGCTCCCTGACCCTGAGTCTTCATTGACTGGCGAATGTGGTGAGTCTGGTGTGACCCAACATTTGTCTCCTATTGACGTGCAAGCCAGTGGCAATGCACATGTAATACTTATCCGCCCTGCTGATGAAGCCTCAAAGAAAATGCTAACATCACCTGAACTGCTTTGCTCAGCACTGGAATCTCCACCTTTCTCATCCCTGCAACTAGATGATGTCCGTGTGAATCGGCGGAAAGGTTTGGTCGCTATTCAACTAGCCAAATGTAATGGAGAGACCAAGATAGCCTGCTTCAGCTGACACAACTAGGTCCTTGGAAAGTTTCCTGCGCAGAACCCAACCAGGCAGGATTTTCCTATGGGGTGATATCACCTGTAGATGTTGAAGCAGACATCAGGGCAATGGAGAAGAGAGTGCAAGTCTCTGGTTTGAGTAAGTTTGTACAAATGGAAAGACTGACCAGAAGTGTTGATGGCAAGCGCATTCGTTCCACTTCAATTATAATCACTTTTGAAGGCAGGGAGCTTCCATCAAAGATCAAAATTGGTTACATCTCCTACTCTGTACGAGCTTACTCTTTTCCACCGCTGCAGTGCTACAATTGCCAACGCTATGGACACTCTGCTGATGACTGCACTAGTCGAAGAAGATGCCTGATTTGCTCAGAAAATCACCATTACAAGGATTGTAGCAGCAAGAATCCAAGAATGTAGCAGCAAGAATCCAGTTATTGCATTATTGGGTAAGCGTTGGCGCTAGGGCTTGTTTATGAGCTAAATTTGTGGTGTAGGGCTGCGCTCCCCCGAAGACCACCACTGCCCTGGATGTAATGGTCCTAATGGACCATCATGAATTTCCTGCCTTCCGGAACGTAGCCTTCAACACTTCTGGACAATCATATAGGCAGCCGAAAGCCACCAGACTGAACGAATCAATTGAATTTGACCAATCAGCCCTCAGGAGCAACAGCCGGCGATCGAATGGCCTAGCACCGTCTGCACAAAAAATTCTACACCACTCGGACGTAGCGCGCCGGAGCCTTGCAGCGAATGTGATATCCGCCACCAAGCCGTCCGTATCTAGGCCGTGCGTCGAACCAGCCCTCGGTCGAATAAATAGCTAGGCTACTAGGACTTGTCTTAGAAGGTCTAATAATATTAAATTGTTGATATCATGGAAGTTGCTTTTATAGTGACTGAGAATCACTATAACATTTAAATGATGTCATTAATACTTTTGAGACAAATATTTATAACTAAAGCTTTCGTAACAATCGTAAAAGGTGTCGCATGCATATTTTTTCCTAAATTAAAACTGATTCTGACCTAATTAAAAATGAAGCTATTTATTATCACACACCCAGCTCGTGAAGCTTCGTGTCTTGGATTCGTTGAGGCTGTGTATATGTCTATGAGGCCTCTCTATTTATAATATATATGCATATATGTGCATGACAGTCAATATTTTTTTTCGTTTTATATGCTACTTTATATTATTTCTAGACACACTGTGACAATTCGTTGTATAATAACAATATACTTGTAAAACTTTCACGTGTTAATGAATTAATTTCGTCACAAAAGTTGCACCTGTCTTACCTTCATTTCGATAGCTTATCTCAGGGAGCTGTGGATGGAGCTGGATTGCCTTATGTTCATTCCAGATGCCGTCTATTCAACTAATTAAGTTTATTATTAGGTTATAAAAACAGTATCTAAACGAAAAATTTCCTTATTTTTTCGAATTGTCGGATTTAAAGGGTTAATTGACTCGCGCAACATTGACCGTTTTCAGTTTATGAGACGCAGCAAGCTAGTGGCTTGCTAACTGTGTTACTTATAACGTCATGATCGTTTTATTTATTATTTATGCTTTCATTCTCAAATACGATCGCTGCTAAACGCAAAATCAGAAAAACATTTGCCGCAGATCAATTTAGACACTAAGCGCAACTTAAACGTTGCTTATAAACGTTGCTGGGCGGTTAAGCAAAGAATATTTGAAGTGGTGAGTTGCGAGTTCAAGCCCGCAACAAATTGTGGATGTTCTGCAATTTTAAGAATCGGCGACAGGCCTACGGCCTAATAAACGCTGAAACCGCTGTATTATATATTAATAGCAGTGTTAGCCCCCATATGACCTAACGCAGATTCTGACCATCGTTAAATTTTCACAGCTTATTGATGCGAAATTACGAATGACTCTGAAGATCACTCGCACCTAATCCGGACGTTAGATCGCTAAAGACGCAATGCGAAGTCTAATATGAGAGGTATTTATATGTCTATATCATTTATAAGCACATATGACGCATGTTAAAGATAAATACACACTTGTATCATTCATTTGCAAAACGCTACTTATTCAAAATTAATTAGAAAGACGCCTGTTCGGAATGGAACTTCATTGAAGATGGAAAACATATTTAGCTTGTAAAGCCGTCAGTGATTGACTGGCGGAGTTACGAACATCGATGCCCCGTCGCTCGTCTCGTAACGAGATCAACACAAAAGTCAAATATCCTGCATGCTATCGTCACCACATAAGCCCTGCTGTGAGTATGGGTCTATATTTATTACGATGATGAAATAAAACTCAGAATTGAACGCAATTAAACTTATTATATTATTAACACAGTTTTTATCAGGTAATTAATGACTGGTTGTACAAAGAATTCAGCGTGATTTCGAGAAAATAATAAATCTTGAAGCCTCCGACCGGTATATCCATCCTACTATTGGTTAAAATAGGAATCACAACTACGTACATTAAAATATTTCCATATATCTCGTGGAATCTGTATATATTAGGCACTTATAACACAGATTTTCAAAGAAGATAACTCATACATCGAATAATTTTTTCAAGAGAAATATGTTTTTGCGGCTGTGCTGTTCTGCATACCACATCAGATCTCGAGGACCTCATTCTCGAATTTACAATCCTTCACAGCGACCGCAGCTGAATACGGTGCCCAGGACAGCGGCCACGAGACCAGAAATTTCGGTAGGAATTGGCCAACCGTAGGCAGGGAATCGCACTACGAATCCTTCAGAACATCACTTACAATTTTCTTAGCGAACGATGATTTGGTAATCGGAGGGTTTAAGCCGCAGTCACACTCAATGTCAGGGTCAAGAAACGAGCCCCAAATATCGTTCACGCCAGGGCCGAGTTTGGCCCTCACTTCTTCGTGGTCCCTAGAGGCCCCACATCCAACATGGCGATCCTTTCCTTAACGCGGTTCCTCATTGCCATGTAATTGTTGGAATCCTTCGCTGCCAAGGACTGACATCTCGTGTGCTTCCGTTCGGTTTGAGATCCTGCAACAGGGTCTTCCCTCTGTACTTTACCTCTCATTTGCATTTCTCGCTCCAACATTTTCTTGTGGGATAAAGTCCATCTTTGATGACGAAGCCGTATCATGGTTAACCCATTTACATCTTCGTGTTGAATTATTTATTTCAGGTGCAGAAGGGAGCGTGAGACTGGAATTTTCTGGGACTGGATGCGCTGTCATGATGTACGAAGGAGCAAATCCCGACGCGTGCCCGATGATCTCACACTGCGCACAAAGACATTAGCCGAACCTGTACTCGTCTACCGAGTGCCACAGCGCCAACAAGAGCACAACCACCACAAATAGGGCATAGATCATGCCCAGGGGCATGATGGTCATCCGAGTGACGTACGCGTCCGACCCAACGGTCTGCCAGAACCCATATAGAGGCGGGCACTCGGTCTTGTTGTAGTACTCGAGCTAGCAGACCTCGTCTCCTGAGATGCTGCTTAGGCTGGGTAGATCACACTGACCTCTGGACACGTGGGTAGCCACCCAATACTTGGTGTTTGGATGAACGCATTCGTAGTCTCTGTCTTGGCTGGAATCTCTGTTGCAGTCTTCGTCAGTCAATGTCACGTTCTGGAAACTTGACACGTATCTACGGCACGTCATTTCTGCGTCATATTTCTCTTATCCGCGACAGAACTCTTCATTTAGGACCGCATCGTTCGACCACGTCATTTCTTGCCTCCTTTTCCTAACTTGATTCTCTCCAGATGTTGATTTATCCGGTCCCGATGATGAATATTGTTTCAAATGATCATCAGTTCCCGATGATACACCATTTTCCGGCGGCTTATAAATTCCAGATGATGTATCATTCCCAGAAGGTTGACCTGTTCCCAATGCTGTATCATTCGTGTTAGGCTTTTCCATCTCAGAAGATATTTCATTCTTCGTAAGACTATCAGTTTCCGATGTGGTTTCATTTCCAATAGGTTCGATAGCTGCATATGCTGTATGCTAGTCCGGAAGATGTCCAGCGCCCTGGTTTGTAACATTCCCCGAAGCATCATCCTTGACCGAGGTGGTAACATTTTTCGAAGGTTCATCAGTTGGTGGGGTTAGGACAGTTCCCGAAGGGTCAGCAGTTGTCGAGGCTGTGACAGTTCCCGAAGGGTCTGGAGTTGTCGGGGCTGTGACAGTTCCCGAAAGGTCAGCAGTTGTCGGGGCTGTGACAGTTCCCGAAGGATCAGCAGTTGTCGGGGATGTGACAGTTCCCGAAGGATCAACAGTTGTCTGGGTTAGGACATTTCCCGAAGGATCAGCAGTTGTCGAGGATGTGACAGTTCCCGAAGGATCAACAGTTGTCGAGGCTGTGACAGTTCCCGCAAGATCAGAAGTTGTCGGGGCTGGGAGAGTTCCCGAAGGATCAGCAGTTATCGGGGTTAGGACAGTTCCTGAAGGTTCAGCAGTTGTCGGGGCTGTAACAGTTCCCGAAGGATCTTCGGTTGCCGGGGTTATGACATTTTACGAAGGATCTTCAGTTGCCGGGATTATGAGATTTTTCGAAGGATCTTCAGTTGCCGGGGTTATGACATTTCTAGAAGGATCTTCAGTTGCCGGGGTTATGACATTTCTCGAAGGATCTTCAGTTGCCGGGGTTATGACATTTCTAGAAGGATCTTCAGTTGCCGGGGTTATGACATTTTACGAAGGATCTTCAGTTGCCGGGATTATGAGATTTTACGAAGGATTTTCAGTTGCTGGGGTTATGACATTTTACGAAGGATCTTCAGTTGCCGGGATTATGAGATTTTACGAAGGATCTTCAGTTGCCGNATTGAATTTCAACTGCAGTTTGGGTGCCTGATATTCTTCCAGGTCGGCATCTAAGATACGATGAAACTCTTTAGTTTCAATTTATTCTTATATTAGGCTTCGTTCTGGTCTTTTTTGTGTTGAAATAACTGTCACTGAAAACACATATGAATTCTCCAAGCGCGTATCAACAATACCCATCGCGTTGCAACATGCCATGGATTTCAATATTTGTGGTATATTTGGGCATCACAAATCCTGGGTTAAATTAAAATAAATGTGAATAAGTATTTTTTAAGTTTATTAGAATTGAAATTTTGTATTATACACATTAAATTTTTCAAGAAATTTCAACAAAGCAATAATATTTCTTTATTGAATGTAGGTCGGACTCGGCATCTAATGATTAATTAACTTGATGTGAATCAAGTAAACAAGTGCAAGCATAATTCCTTAAATACTTAACGGATCTGTATGAATTTTGGAATGTGAGTATTAATTATCGATACTCTGCCGCAGGAATTATTACAGATTTTTACATGAATTATTTCCTAACCCAACCTAACCTAACCTAACCTAATAATAAGTCATGTAAAAATCTGTAATAATTCCTGCGGCAGCGTATCGATAATTAATACTCACATTCCAGAATTCATACAGATTTGTTAAGTATTTAAGGAAGTTGCCGGGATTATGAGATTTTACGAAGGATCTTCAGTTGCCGGGGTTATGACATTTCTCGAAGGATCTTCAGTTGCCGGGGTTATGACATTTCTCGAAGGATCTTCAGTTGCCGGGGTAATGACATTTTTCGAAGGATCTTTAGTTGCCGGGATTGAAGCATTTCCCGAAGTATCTTCAGGTCTCAAACCTTTATTATCTCCCGTGGGTGACTCAGCTTAATCACTTCCTGATGGTTTATCAGTTTTCGAAGCTGTGTCCTTCCCTGATTCCGCCTCATTTTCCGATGTCGCATCTTTTTCATTTTCTTGTTGTTTAGAATTATTCGGAGTTGTACCAGCTTTTGTTTATCCTATTTCACGAGCTGCTGAGCTGACAAGACACTGAAAGGTGGCGTCCGATTTGAAGTCAATTGTAGAACAGTTGCTCCAGTGGACTTGTACTCGCTGATACCCTGTCACCAGGTGACGGCACGGTACACCCTACCCCTGGACCGGGCTGCATTTGTTTCGGTCAATTTTGACTCGCCTCACGGTACCCTCATCGTACCGGCACGCTACGCTGTTCACATAGCTCATCATTAGCGTGAATAACACCAGCCCCAGCAGCACCGCCGACGCGATACTCAACACGGGAAGCAAGAATCTGTATCTTCCGTACACGACCACCCCGAAGATTCCGTAGAAGAATAAGGCGAAGATTGCGACTGCGAAGATGTAGTACTCAGTGGATGCCGGTCGCATTGAGGTAGGAATTATCATAAGCAAGGCCATTATCAGGGAGAACAATAGGAGAATCGCGTGCAACACCAGCATAGCCAAGCGCCACCGTAGCCGCCATATGATCACAATCGGCGCTATGAAGTCGAACATTTCTTAGTTCACTGGTTCCAGGACAATTTTAGATGAATTGCAACGTATTCTTTTGATGAGTCTCCAAGATTTTACTTCGTTCAGGCAGATTAAAATCGTTTTCAGGTCAAATGAAGTTTTAATAATAATTTTCGTGCTTTGGTTCCAGATTGAATTTCAACTGCAGTTTGGGTGCCTGATATTCTTCCAGGTCTGCATCTAAGATACGATGAAACTCTTTAGTTTCAATTTATTCTTATATTAGGCTTCGTTCTGGTCTTTTTTTTTGTTGANCTGTCTCTTATACACATCTAGATGTGTATAAGAGACAGGAACTATGCTATCTGAAACCTAACCTCAGATGCGGTGAACGTAAAATTACGTAATTTAACGATGCCCGGAAGTCAGATTCGATCCGCGGCCTGGTGGTGCACGGCTGGTGGTGGTCAAGGCCGGAAGAGGACAAAGCCGAGTGGTGCACGGCTGATTGATGTAGGTCCGGAGAGATCCAAGGCGTTCGACTCAGGGCTTATTGGTGCACAAAATTGGTGGTGCACGACTGCGCTCCCTTCGGCAGGCGACCCCTCCCTTCGAGGGAGTACGGACTACGGAGAACACAGCGAACGCCGAATCACATTTACGCTGAATCAAGCGTACCGACATTTATTCTTGTGAGGTATATATATAAATAAAATTATCGGTAATTTCAATCAATAATTGGTCTCATATTTTTTAAAAATTACAATAAATATATTGAACGATAAAATTTATTATTTTTTCTCTATGTGATTCGTATTTAAAATGTTTCACCAACAGTTATATCGGAATTATAAATACCAACTTTAAACGAATGCAATATTCAGTAAATCATACATGAAATATCGACGATGAATGTATATGAATTTTAAATTATGCAACAAACGTTCATATAAGGATTATAAATGCTTATAACCGTTTTAAAATCCGCTACTGTTCTGATGGGCATGAACCGATTCGACACTTTTACCAACTCGCCTGCACACTCTAGCGCAACACTTAACTTAACGCAATAACGCTCAACTTGCCCAGTCATAACTCCATCATGTTTCAAATTTGAATGAAATCCGTTCAGTATTGTAGGAGTTATGACTGGGCGAGTTGAGGATTAAGTTAGGTTTTGCGTTCGCGAGCGCAGGCGAGTTCGCAAAAGTGTCGCATCGGTCTAGCAGCAACTCTAGCTGATGGCACATCCCACCACTCCACACAACTCCCGGAGCGAAGCTTCAGATGTTCCTGAAAAAGCCAACTTGTGGAGAGTTAAAATTTTTACCTATAATTTTCCAAGGTTTTTGATTACGGCAGTACAGGTGGGAGGTAGTCGAGTGGTTGTTATTGGTGGTTGTCGAGTGGTTAACATCTTGACACTATACCGTGATTAAATTATAATAACCAATTTTTCATGGTTATTTGCCGCACATTGGTCTTTTCATTTCTGAAATAAGAATTATCCATATTGAGTCCAGTATCATCGTATAACTGGTAGATTGAATCATATATATAAAAAACGACCGTAAAATTAGCGGAATTAGAACTTGCGTTAATGAAAAAATATCTCAATGAAATCTCATACGCCGCTAAAGAGATATTTCTTTGACATAATGAATATGAGCCTCATACCCGTTAAACATGTGAACAGAGTAATGAAATCAACGACTTCAACACAAGCAGAAGGTTCTCGAACCTTCATGTGCGATGTTTAATTAAAATTTGCGCAGGAACTCAAGATAAATGGTCGCCCTCGTGAACTAGTCCACAGCATATGGTTACCTCATGTTTAATAAAAACAAACATGTTGTTAAAACATAACATGTTGTCCTAAACATGTTAAAAACATGTTGTCCTAAGTGCAAAAAAACAAGTGAAAATAACCTAAATGAAAACAAACGTTCATTTCACAATGACGCTTAGAGGTACCAAGACAGATTTTTGTCAGCATTGATCTTGAATAAATTAGATTAAATGTTATTTACTTCATTCTTTCTTCTAACCACAAGTGCAACAAACGTCGCCTGCAATTTGACATTAAAACTCCGCTGCAACGTTGCTGTCCGCATTTACATAAATTTCAAGTTGATTTTCATTTTTAATGCATCAATAAATTGTTTCAAATTCTTCATGAGACAACCACGCCCGCAATTATTAACCTTAATAAACCCCAATTTCATAGAAATAATATGCAATTGTTTCAGATATCATGTCAGGGCCAAAATTCATTCCACACATGTTAGTGCCAGTGGATTCAACACTGACGAACAAAGCGAACCAAAGCACTGGTTCCGCTCGATTCGCTAAAAAAAGATTTGGTGTCAATTTTTTAAAATATACATCAGTCTCTCCTTTGAAAGAATATCCTATTATTCTTTCTCTTTATTATTCCTATGAATATTCTGAACTTTTTAAAATATCTCTTAGAGATTAGATCAAAGATGTGAAAACTGGTCAGTGAGTGTAGCTCAGGCAGTAACGGTAGTAGACTGCCATTGTTGTAATAGTTGTGAATTGTTTACGGCCGTACTTGCGGCCAGTCCCGCTATTTTTTTTAAATTGTGTTCTATGATTTTGGAGGAGGCCATGCTAGCTGTAGCTGGTGACATCGGCTGACTGGACAGACTTTGATTTGCATCCAGCTCAATCACAGAATCAAATTCATGGATCTTGCCTTAAGCAATCTCCTTCAACAAAAAGTTTGGAAAGAAATATCCACAACATTTTAAAATACAACAAAATTTGAGTTGAAAAAAATATAAGTTTGATCTTCAAAAAAGAACTCGAAATATCCATGTGTATCCTTTCTATTTCTAAATAATGTTTAACAAGCCCATGTATTTGATAACAATTAAGGAAACTGCGCAATTGTGAAGATTTCCTTAAGGCATAGCCACGTAGGCCACATAGCACAAAATTTTACTAAAGGCAGATTATCTAATACTAGCTTTAGCATTATTAGGAATATTTTACCAGGACTCCACTGCCCACTCCACTGTGGCACTGTCTACTAATTGGCCAACTAATCTAGACACTGAATCAGGTACGTCCCTACTCTACTCCCTATGCGCTCCATAGCTTAGTGACAACCAGAGATTTTTTAGAATCAGTTCATTTCAAATTTCCTCATTTACTCCAGATTTTAACCAATTTCTTAAGTATGATAAGCTGGTATCCATGATACTTTACTGGTCTACTTATAGGACTCAAAAAACAAAAATGAACTTGAGAAGTTGAGACAGAGTCTAAAAATTCTCTGCGTTGCCACTATGCTCCACGCCCATGGCGTCTGAACTCATTCTGAATGCGTAATAAACTTGACTCATATTTGTGAGGTTCCTATAAAATAGCAGTTTCAGCGTTTATTAGGCCATAGGCCTGTCGCCAATTCTTGACATCGCACAAAGTGGCAAAGCAGAGAGTTTTTTAGACTCTCCCTCAAGTTCAATTTTGAGTACTATAAGTAGACCAGTAAAGTATCATGGATACCAGAATTATCATACATATGAAATTTGTTTAAATATTGAGTGAATGAGGAAATTAAAAATGAGCTGATTCTAAAAAATCTCTGGTTTGCCACTATGAGTCATCGCAGAACATTCACAATTTCACAGCATTTTGTGGTCTCAAACTCGCAACTCACTGCCCACTGGGCCATAGTGGGCCAGTGGCAGAGCAGAGAGTTTTTTAGACTCTCCCTCAAGTTCAATTTTGAGTACTATAAGTAGAGCAGTAAAGTATCATGGATACCAGCATAATCATAGTACATAAGAAAATGGTTTAAATATTGGGTAAATAAGGAAATTAAAAATGAACTGATTCCAAAAAATCTCTGGTTTTCTCTGGTTTGCCACTATGGAAAATGAACTGATTCCAAAAAATCTCTGGTTTTCTCTGTTTTGCCACTATGCTCACTAGTCACTGCTACCTACAATTCTGTTGTGAGCCGCCCTGTGCTTAACCGCCCCCCGCCCGGCCTCCTCGCCGATTCTGACCAGAATCTGGCCTGGCGCACAGAGCTGCATAGTGCATGGGATCAAACCCGCACCTCTCTGCGCCAATTTTGGTATCCAAACTTTAACCACTAAAGGTAAGTTTTCACTAAAGAAAGAAGAAGTTTTTTTACTAAAGAAAGGTAAGGTGTGTTGCACTGTGCAGTTTCTGCCTGTGGGCTTGCGGAGTGGCGACTTAGGTAGGTATGTGACTATGTGGCACCGTCACAGTGGCATTGACGCTAGTCGGCATTTGACGGTAGTTCAAGTCAAGTGGAGCAGATAAATCAATAACTAAAGAAAGCCTGAATTTATGTGATTTGAATTTAAGAGAGTATTCATTCAACTCACCAGCAGAGGAGCCGTAAATTCCAGCTGCGTACGCTGTGACACAGAGACGGCAACCAACGAAATTTGAACTTACCGCTGCACTGACCACGTGAGTCTTGACGTGACACTTTCGTGACTTGTGAATTCGTCTTGAACGACGTTCAAACTTCGTTATAACGAGTTTACCAAATCTGTTATAACGAATTCAAATCTGTTATAACGAGTTTACCTTCATTGCTTCCCTTTAATTGTGTTTTTGAAACAAGGAATAGTTCAAACAGCTCTGCAACGTTTTAGAAACAATATATTTTGATTCATAAGATTAATGTTATTCAAAAATGTAAAGGAATATTTTATGAGCCCCTCGTCGATGAAGCTTCATGCAAATGCGACAACTATGCGGTCATCACGTAGGCAGTGTCATCATGTTACCAACTCTGTACAGTGGCAGAAAAAATTAGCAAGACTGATGGGTATTGCCATTTAATACTTTTCTGTGGAATATATTGAATACTTCTTAATTATCCATCCTCAACTTGGTGCCATCGAAGCCTTATAGTTACGACTTAAGAGTAACATTTTTTACTCAATACGTTGCCATGCATACATTGACAGGTTTGCGGTGTTTGTCGGACCACTAATTAACTGCCATGTTTGTTAGTCAGACAAATTTTGCTAAATCTGCAATTAACTCAATTTAACTGGTAACTGTCTATTACAGTGCTGGGCAGTAGCGCGCTACATTTTCAGTAGCGGTAGCGGCTCTACATTTAAGGCAATATAGCGGTAGCGGTAGCGCCCGCTACATATTTAAGTAGCGATACGAGGTTTTGCCGCTACAGCGCTACCGCTACATTTATAAATAAAGCCTTTAGATCAGTGGTTCCCAAAGTGGGTGATATCGCCACCCTACTCCTCGTCGCTCTCGCTTGATGAATCTAGAGGATCATCTGATGATCATCAAAATGAGTCAGAGCAAAATATTTCGATACATGCATTGAGCGATTGTCAAGTAACATTGTTGTATTTGATAAAAATAAAACGAAATCCAACCTGTGTCCTGCTCATGCTCCAGATCCAGCGTGAAAATTTTGGAGGTGGACGCCGAAGTAGGCGCAGCAGAAGTGGACGCAGCAGAAGTGGACGCAGCAGAAGTGGACGCAGAAGTGGAAGCAACTGAAAAAGTAAACGAGTTTTTAATTTTTACATCCAGTAATTTCAGGCAATGGAAGCCAGTTATAGCAAACAAATTCCCCTCAAAATTAACATGTGGATAATGGAAGATACAAATACGTCATCCGGGATGATGCAAGCAAGATCTACAAAATAGTTCATAAGAAGCGTTGTAATATAATGAACCATACCCTGCGCCGAGGGTGTGTCAGCGGCGCCCGTCGTGGTGGATGAAGCGAGAGTAGATTGCACAGGGACGGAGGTGGAGGCCTCGACGTCATCACTCAGCTCGCGGTTGCGCAGCTGCATTGCACATTTTTCAGGCGCCTGCACGTCAAAAAAAAAAAACATTTGGGAAAAAGAAAAGCAACAGAAACGAAGACACTCGAACAAGAGGTCGCTTACACGGGACGTCGGCCACCCGCATGAGAGAGACAGAGAAGGGAAATGTAAGGAATCCTACCTACATAATAACTTAACCCCACAACTGAGACCTACAGTCAGACGCCGCGAGCTCAGCGGTGGGGCGCTCAGGAACAATCCCCTTAGGAGCGCGAAATCCCATAGGACTGACGAGCATAGACACGTCAGAAGTCCCCCCTGAGAGGATCACATTAAGAGCTAAACAAAGCAATGAAGGTTTTACTCTGTCAACATAGTAAATTACAACAACTATAGAATAGGAAACACGGATACATCAATGTAGAACGTTGAGAACTAAGCAGCTAAATAATAACTATTAAGCGCTATTCCTAACCTGGGCGGGCACAGGTGGATCTGTGTACACAAACTCGGGTATAAAATAAGAAACGTACTTGAGTTTTCCGTTTCTTCCTTGATTCTCTTATCCTTTGGCAGTCCTCTTCAAGGTCTTCATCTATCCAAATCCTGCTGAGAAGATAGGCTACGTCGACGCTAGCAAATGAATGCTGAATATGTTTCCCTGCGGTCAGAATGAAAGTATAAATTCAGAGTGAGAAATCAAGATATACGTAATACAGAACTTGACACGCAGCGGGAAAACAGTTGCCGCGCATATTTAGAAAGCACTAATCATTAAAAAATGATTTAATCATGCTAATAAAACAATAAATTGACTTACCTGTGAAAGAAACCTAAAATAATTTTCATGGAAAGAACCCATCTAGCACATTTCCCAAACCTCCAAGAACAGTCGTAAATAAAATGCGTCTAAAAAACACTTTTTAAAGACAACACGTCTACGTAGACCAGTGTTTCCGATGATACACATGTGCAATGAATTTATAATTTTATTTTTGAGTATTACAATAAATTATTTAGCTTTTTTCAATTTTGTAAATTATTCATNAATGCGATCTTACCTTCTTATGTTTGACCATGTGTTTGTAGAAGAGCGGTCTGAAGAATTCTTCACGCTCTTCTCGGGTTGGGTTGCCTAATGCTGAGGCCGATGATTCTTCATCATCGGCGACGACGACTGAGATGATGCGCTTCTTGCCCACGCTCTGCAACACGGCAATGAAAAGTTGTGCACCAACATCACCACTATGACACGTGTACCGATACGAATAAATAACTGGTCTGCAACATACGAATGGCTACGACAACAAATTAGTGACAAATACAGAAACAGAGCTTCCAGGAAGAAACACATTAGAGACAATAGCAAAGACGTGATTGATAAGTGAAAAAGAAGTTAATGTAGTTATAGCAAATAATGATGAATCATGAATGGACGCCGAAAATATTCATTAAATTAATGGGATAATAGAGTAGAAAAATATCCTGTTTAATAATCTTATCTTCATGATGGCCAAATCTCCTATTCTAATTACACGGAAATCAACCTTTCTCATGACAGTTTTTTTTACTCTAAAGAGTCTAATCATTTACAGGTAGAAGCTAAAGCTTAGGAATGTTAGACGTAACTTAAACTTAGGAATGTTAGACGTAACAAATATAGTTCGCTCGAGAGGCCGGAGTGTTCAATATCACCAATATGCGAGTAGCCAGCAGGACCTAATAAAATTTGACGCTATCACATATACAAGAAGAATGCAGTCAGTTCTCACGGTCTTGTTTATCCGGACGGAATCAGACCCCCTGAGGTGACGTGATGATGCAGGGCGGCGGCGTGGTAGGACCTCTTCGCTGTCCTCCTCCTTGTCCTCTTTGTCCTCCTCTTTGGACTCGGGCGCCGTGGCGATGCAAGCCGTCGGCTGATGGCGCAGGCGTCTCGGCGAAGCGCTCTCCTTAGAAGCACCGGCCTGGTCTTCTACGAAAGCATCGGCCTGGTCATCCGCCTTGACTCGCGCTCGCCGTCGCTCCTCCAGCGAAAATTTGCGTTGCCGCCGCTCAGGCTTCACACCACGCACTTCTGCACGCACAAACAAAATTAGCTAATACTTTGTATTAGTTATCTATTCAGGTTAGAAATTTAACATCGTGAAACAAACTATCACATGGGAATAAAAAAAACAGCAGTGAATTCTCTAAAAAATCAATAAAAAACATCAATGAATTTGCGGAGATTTTAGCAATGCACTCACGTGGCGAGTCATCATCTTGATCAAATTTTGTGACCAACAATCTTTCTTAAAACAGAAAAAGCAAATGACAAAAGAGAAAAATACCTGAACGTGCATAGAAGAGACGGTCACGTAAAGACCACACAGGCTTGCAAATTCTCTTGCTACTAACACGTGGCACCCAAACACTAAACTCTCGAGTGCGTAACTCACGTACAACTGATAGGTCCAGGTGAGCATGAAAGTAAACAGCCACTGTTTTAACCAATCCTCGAGTCTGGTTACTGGACATGCATATTTCTAAGAATCTACAATTAACTGAAATAGAATGTATGGATCCCAGCATTATCCTGACTACCTCCAGACAATCTATTTATATATATTCAGTATTAATCTGTGGCATCAAAGAATTTTCTATAACCAATAGGATAAATTATTTCACAGGAGCAGTTCGCAATGATCCTTATAAACCTATCCCATTAGTGTGAAGTCTATTTCAGACAGTACATAAGGTAGGTTAAGTTTCAAACAAGATCGGGAATTGTCAAGATATAATAACTTGACTTTAAACATCTCAAAAACAAGTGTTCCTGTACTCACGGAGTGACACCACATAATGAACATTCAAACACACAAAAAAAATTCATTATCAGAGACGCTACAAATGGTGATGAACATAAACTTGGACATTCCCATACAACAACTCTTGTTACAGCTTACCTTGATCTGATGGAGTTACATTGGATGTTGGAGAACATTTGCTGGAGCTAGTAGCTCCTTTTCCTGTTGATAAATATAAAAAATGTTTATACCTATGGCTTCACTTCATCATAAGATAATCATTTCAGGCACTTGAGATAATCTCTGGATGATTCAACAAAAGTTATTGATAATTTTCAATGATGTATGGAGACTGAGAAATATAAATAAATTATTATCTTCAAAGTGATATACAAGTCTATTTAAGTGAACTTACAGGTTTTGACGATATAATAAAATTTAAAGCTCAGCATATTAAGTACCTATGATGATCACATTTATATGCCTAACCACCAGAACACTGGTTGCAAGTATGTCAAGGTTTGTTAGAGCATGACTGATAAAAAAATAAAAGGTGAACAAATTACAGGTTCTAGCATTAGTAGCTTGATGAAATGAGCAAGATGTCCCTTACAAAAGAAAATAAAACTCACTAGCAACTTTGATCTTAAAGTTATTTTTGATTAATTTACTCTCAAGAGACAATCCAGGTAACTCACAGGAGTTTCTATTAACTTTAGAAATTATTACTTGGCCTGGGCCTATACTCTTTCAAAACTCGCTAAGTGAACGTAAGTACTTACGCTCTATTTTCTTGTCTATGATTGGTGGATTTTGCTTGAAAAAAAATAATTTTAAACTCACATACCACAAATTTTCACAAAAAATTGTGAACTAGAAACAAAATAAGAGTAGGAATTACGTTAATTAGGATGTGATTTGTGAGAGAATGCAATAGTAAGATATAGGGCAAAAAGGTTGTTCTTGTTCATAGGAAGAAAATGGGTTGTTTGGAGTAAAATCAAGCAACAGGCTACGTGGGTTGCAGACCAGGCAATAAAAGGAGCTGGCATGAGGAAGAAGCAGTCGAGTTTGGAGTTGTGAGTCAGGCAGTCTAAGGCCAGGCAGTGAGTCTTGAGCAAGCAAGCTAAATGGCATTGGTATAGTTGTCTGTACTTGGACGTTGTGACCAAGTTGGTGGTCAGTGTAGTGTTGATGTGCAAGACGCAAATGCGAGGAAAACATAACAAAATAGAAAGATTAAATTCGCCATTCAGAGAATCTGCTCTCAGCTCATGCCATTGTAAGAAAGATTGGTGACCAGCAGCATAAGAACGAGGACAAGATTTTGAAGATAACCACAAATATTGATTTGTGCTGGAGCAAAGATTATGGAGAATACAACAGCAGATGCCTTTGAAATCAATGACGACAGGATGTTCCTCGGAAAATCTTCTACCAACTCTTGCCATAGTAAAAGGGGATGCTAATCCAAGGAGACACAGAGATCCAGGAAGACCATCAATTAACATTAACTACAGTAGAATAAGCTATGGAGAAGTCAACCAGCCCTCAGCGTCCAGGTGTCACTGTCCCAAACCCAATGACGTAGACGTACCCACTTAGAATTTAATAGAGGCAGTGCTGTTATTGGCTCTGAAATTTGTGTCAAATTATTGGGTCAGTGCCAGTGTTTGATTCACTATTACCATGTCCCAGCTATTGACTGATGTTTGATACCTAAGTCATAACTTTAGATTGCCTTCAATTTATATAGCATTTCAATCAATATGGTTAGTGCGTGATGATTGGCGCAGAAACACATTCATTATAATAGCTGCGGCTGACAGATTCAAGTAATCCAAACAAGCTGAAGATTTTCATGGTGACAGCAATGTTGACCAATCAATCCACAGTTAGTGATCAGTCATGGATGCTAATTTAATGTCCTGATGGCTGATAGAGGGCTTGGACAGCTGCCAATATATTGAGCTTAAAGGCATTAATTTACAGCCTGGAATGGCACAGCTATGCTTTATAGGTAGTACCAGGAATGGAACATATCTACTTGGTTAGCTGCAAATGGATTTTTCAAGCTGTGGTTTCATGGATTTTCCAGCCATTCCATTTCTTTGAGCTGTGAATTTCATTTCTTGGCCATGAAGAGCCATTTACAAGCCATGAACTTATTTACAAAGTCCTGTGCACATGTTACCCCAAATCAATAATTTTATCCTAAAAACAGTCAAACAGCAACTATAACATTTGTCTTCACTTTAGTGGCAGCTGAACTTGTGATAATGCAATCTGACTGCTCTGATGTGACAACAACTATGCGATCTTCAACAAAACATTTTGGGTTGACTTGTTATCATTACGTTCTGCAGGATATTTTGGCAGGAGCATTGAAGTACTGCAGATTGTGGGAGTTGAAAATTTTATGAAATGACATGTTTGCAAAGTGCAAACTGCAATGTTTTTCAATCAAACAAAAATACATGGCATTAGAGCTGCAAGATTTCATAACTTCTGAAATTATATGAAATTAGAGCCAGGATATTTCAGAAAAATGTAGGACTTTTCACTGACTTGCTTTATACTGCATATAAGTTTGATGGAATTTATTGATTAAAATGGCATTACTAATAATATTTTCCAACCAAAATATTTCAAAAGTTACATTTTAGAACTTAGAAGAATAATTCTCAACAATTTTTATACCCTAACCATCTTATGTACGTGTAGTAAAGATCAGGGCTGGAGAAGTCCTATTCAGAACAGGGCAGCGCTACTTTGAAATGTAGCGGCCACTACCGCTACCGCTACCTGCTCTAAATGTAGTGGGCGCTACCGCTACCGTAAAATGTAGCCCACTACAAAATTGGCCAAAATTATTGGAAATCTCTAAATATTTATTGTTCTGCTATTGGGATTTACTCTTAAATATTTAATGATAATAAAACATTTTCAAAACATATCAATGCAACTTTATCGCAATTAACCTAACCAAAATAGTATGGGTTAGATGCAGTAAATACAAGTTAGTTATTTTTATGTTTTACCTCCCCTACATGGATGTCTTCTTTAATCTACCAATCTCAAAAATTATCCACATATACATATAAAAAATTGGTATTTTATCTGGATATATATGTGACTAATTTTTGAGATTGGTAGATTAAAGTAGACATCCATGTAGGGAAGGTGAAACATAAAAATAAATGTGTAAAAATAACTGTAAGCAAACTGAAGTTAGGTGGCTGATATCCATGATGTGCATGTGGACATGTGGTGGCAGCTGGCATGGAATAAGAACAAGTGGAAACTGGTAACAACGTAGCAAGTAACAACTAACATGTTGACACTAGTAACAGGCTGAGGTTGACAACATTACACCGAAATGTTTCGTACAGTTTTATTCTGTAATTTATATGTATCATGCTAATTTTTAAATAATATTTAATACTATTAAGTAAAATCTAAAGGTAAAGTAAAATCTATTAAGTAAAATCTAAATCTATCAAGTAAAATCCGCTACTGCTACTGAAAATGTAGTGGCCGCTACATGTAGTGCTTGACAACATTACACCGAAATCTTTCGTACAGTTTTATTCTGTCATTTATATTATGTATGTATCATATTCTTCTAACTTGAAAATGAATGTTTGTTGCATTCGAAACGTCGTTAATAAAGAAAAACTACTTTCTGAAACTTGCCTTTTTATCTACCGTCATCCGAAGAAAAGTTCCACTCCCTGATAATAAAAACCAACAAATTCTCTGGTCATCAATCGCACGTGTGTAAACAAGTAAATCCTGCCATCTAATAATAAGAAATATTTGTGTAAATAAATATGTAATTTATATACCTATACATATATTGGTGTACTTTGGCAGAAGCTTCTCTTTTATGTAAGTTTGATTGAATTGAATTTTTAAGCTTATATTTTAAATTGTATTTTCGATTGTATCCACTATAACAATGCTTTGTACTACTGTCATTTCTAAAGTTAGAGAGGTTTAACAATGCTTAACAATGCTTCTTTTAACTTGAAAATGAATGTTGCTACATTCGAAACGTCGTTAATATATTATTATTTGCTAAATCTGCCTTTTGATCTACCAACGTACGGATAGCTTAATTCAAATGGTTTTATTATTATACTTGAATGCTTATTAAATAATTTAATAAGCTACATAAAATATAGAGACATAAACGATTGATGTCGTCTATAACTGCTATAACTGCTATAACTCAGTACTCACTGCAGTGAGTGTCTGAAAGTGTATTTTCTCGTCGGCGAAAACGTGAAGTCACGGACGGACAGACAGACGGACGGACGGACGGACATGGCGAGCACAATAGCGCCTTTTTTCCATAAATGAGAAAATGTGCTAAAAAGACTCGTCACTTTCTTAATACCCTTTCGTAACTGACGGGACTTCTCGGTCTCAAACCACTAGGTACAAATAGCAATAATGACGGTAAATGTCTCTGAGATCAAAGTATTAATTCGGTGAATGATCCATGAGAAGTGACTGTAGTTTGTTACCACATGTTGATTTGCACCGATTCTTTTGATTTCTTGAATATTCAATATTTTCTGTAGCGCACTAATTAAATCAACCGAAGCATAGCGGAAGAAGTTTACTTTCAACGGTTCCCCTGCAAGATGCCACTTGGTGAGTATATTCACTGGAATTTTTTATTCATTTTAAAATTATTTATTCATATATAAATTATTTATTCGTATATTATTCATTTCTTGTTCATTAATTGGCTTCATATTTGAACAGAAGGCCAATCAAGTTGCAATTTATACCAAAATTTTATCATTAATTTTCAGAGGTCTACCCTTATTTGCGTTGTACATTTTTAGTTGGATGGTTTTTTGTTAAATTAGTATCTAATTGATCACGAAATTAAAAAAAGCATACCTATTACTAGGTCAGTTTTTTTCAAACATTCGATTGCGACTTGAACTCGAGCATCCTGTCAGATTGTTTTATCTTAATTTCTTTTATTTAACAGCTGCATTCCACCTTAAAGAAAAGCAACTTGCGAGATGGTTTTAGAAAGAATCGTAGCTTCCATGGCTGGGTAATGCAATTATGTTCATTAATTGTGTTCACAGTGAACAGAATTCTTGATAGACACAATCTTTCGCTAGCTTTGGTGTTGCATTTGACCGTAAGATAAAATTGTTTATCTCCACTCCTCAAATCTCTCATTTTACCAATTATTT